TCTCCATTTGTGGAGACACTCAAAGCTTGGTGCTGCACAAGGTGCTGTGACCGGCCCTGTGCTGGCTGGAGATCTCCCCTTCCAACCTCGGCCATTCTGTGACTCTGCCACCAGAAAATGCACCTCAACAGGCTGCTTTAGCAAGCCAGAGGACACCCTCTTTGATCTCTGTTTGAGGCTCCATTTCAAGCTGTGTGTGACAAGTGCTCATTTAGGTGCTGTTCTGCTCCTTAGATGTGTCTGTGTACGTGCGGTGAAAAGAGAGTCGGTGACTCATCTACTCCATATTTCAAATACATACTCATGGCACAGTTAAAGTTGGCATAAATAAGAATCCTCCATTTCTCTGAGCCCAAGCAAAACCAAACAACTTTTGCAGAGCAGGATGGGTCCAAATGAACCAGATACAACTGTGTAAAAATATTAACAAATTTGTCACATTGACTTTCTTCATTAATCAACCAATTTAAATAGTCAAACCCCCTCATCTGCAGCATGGCCATCAGAAAACTGTAATAAAATGTATTTAACTGTCTGATTATTTCAGTCACTGACCTAACATGAACTTGCTGTAGACCCATTCATCTAGTGTTCGTTCATTTGAGCTTCATTTTAGCTGTTGTGCTCTGCTCAGCAGTGACTTGTGAAGCATTTCCATGGCCACAACGACTAACCAGGTTTTCTACTTGTGATTTCCTCTGGTTTCAATGACTGTTGTGGTTGCCCCCACCTCGTGGGTGCTTCTCATTGTCCCAGTGAGCCAAATGTCCTTCCCAGAGCAGGTGGGGGGATGGAGGAAGGAACTACATGCTAAAAAAGAGTAGAGCAGCCTCTTCTGTGGTGCTGAAGTGACCTCACAACACACACAGACATCAGCTGGGCAACTGGTTCAACTTTTCCGAGCTGTTTCCCCCTTTATTCCCCATTTCCACACACAGTGATGCCCTGGCCTGGGTGTGAGCAGGGCTGTGGCCATACATCTGCCCCTGGCCCCACTGCTGGAGCTCAGGGTGATGCAGGACCATGCTGGCAGCAGAGCCTGGCCCACCCACGGGCTGGGGGATTATTTATGTGCATTTGCCTTGTGTCAGTAGGTGCAGATGCCACTGGTGCATTCTAATTCAAATAGAACTCGGTGGGAACCCCTTGCAAAGCTGGGATGCCAGGGGGGAAGGTTTGCCAGCCTCCTCCCTGCCTGCCCAAGCTCAGCCATGCCTCGGTGCCAGGGCTGGCAGGACCCCTCCCCACAAACCTGCCCAGTCTCACTTCCCCCTCACAGACCTGCTGCAAAACAACGGGTCCTGCAAAGCTGAACCTCCCCAGGAGAGCAGGGAAGCTCCCAGTAGGAAAAAACCTTCCTATTTTGAATAAAACAGGTGGTGGTGGGTTTCTTCAGTACATGGCCTAGTGAGTCTAGAAGGTAGTTTTACTGTGACTTTTATACTCATCTCAGCACTCTTGTTCCACAGTTAAGAGTCTCATTAGAAGTTCAATTATTTGTGAAGCTAATTACATCTTTTTGGCCTATATAATAGACCATTGTGTGGAAAAGCTACAGTAAGAGTTGAGAGGCTCACCTACAAAGTCAGCTTTGCACTGAACCTGAGGCAGAACATAGCCTGAAGCCAAAGCAAGAGAGATTGGGCATCTTTGTAACAGACTCTTTTCCTGAAGCACTTCCATGGCTCCCTCTGCTGCAGTGTCTGACCAGAACCATGGGGGCTGCCCAGGCAGGGATGTGGCACAGAGCAGCCTGCAGCAGGGCAGGGAGGTGAATCGTGCCAGCTCACATGATCAGGTTTGTCTTTGCTGGCCCATGTCTCACTCACACTTTTAAATCTGAGCTGTGAGAATCCAAAGCCCTGAGCTCATCCCACAGCTGAGAAGGAACAAGCCTTTCACACTCCAAGCACCTACTTTGAAATCCAAAGGACCTCAGGAGTCCACAGCATATTTTCAGAATTTACTTGGCCACTTGAGTTGGATTCAAAGCTGTCCAAGGGAATAGATTTGCTCCCACTCAGCTCTGGGCCCTTTGGAGCCTGCCCCAAAAACCAAATGGCTCCTTTGAAAGTCTTCCTCGTTCCCCCTTCCCAGGAGGGTACAAAGCCTGGAAATGGTGCAATAATTTCCTACCTCTTGGCCAGAAATAGCTGCATTTCATAGCTTGCAACTGGAGTGTTGAGCAGCATGTTGGAGGGAAACAAAGCAGAAGGAAAAGCCAATGACAGGAATTGCAGAGGAAAAGCAAATGATGAGTGCAAGAATATAGAGAGAGACTGAGAAGGACACCCAGTATTTCTGACTGAGGGGGAAAGATTTTCTTGGATAGTGGCTTTTGTAACAAAAAAAATTCCTGTTGCTCAGAACTAGGCCTGTTAACACAACCCTGTTAGCATGGATCTCAGCTGGGATTGCAGACATATTCCCCATTAACATGGGAATTTCCCTTCCTGTCCCTTATGATGCTGGAGAAGACAGGTAACATCTGTTACACTTGTACAGCAGCCCAGCAGAATATTAATGTTAGCCCTGCACTGGTTATCAACCCAATCTGAATTTTCATCTCACTAGTATTTTCCAAAAAATATTATCAGAGGATAGAAGGCTTCTGTTAAGAAGCACATTTTAGTGCAGGCTTTGAGCAACTTTCCCTTAAGCCGTTAAGGATCGAGGATATAGAAATAAACATTGTAATTAAAAAGTACACGGGTTTTAGCCCAGGCCATGCTACAAAGCAAATAAAATTAAACAAAGACACAAGGGTGAGAGTTTTAGTATGGTACTATCACTGCTAAATTAAACAGGGGAAAAGAGAGGACAAAACTTAAACCTGTTAGGAGGAATAATTTGCATTGTCCTGAAAGACAGGACACTTTATTCTTACAAAATCTGAAGACCATTGGAGTGGAATCAATGGTGTTCCTTCTCTGCTAGTTGGGGAAAATCTCCTGATTTTAGGATTTCTTTACATATTTTACATTGAGGTAGGCACTGAAGAAACTGCTGCTTATCCAAAAGTTTACTGATGATACAGCAGGGGGTTGTTGCTCAGGGATACCCAGTCAGGGTGTAGTACAGGGAGAGGGTGCAGTGGTGTCCTTGGGCAGCAATTAGAGATCAGGGATCTGTGTTGAGTCACCCACCACGGTGCAAACACACTTTTTGGTTTTCAGTCATAAAGACCCTTCCATTAAGGGTACAGATCAAATAGAGGAGATAACTGCTCGCTGAAGCAAACCACGCAAATACATTTTCCTCTCACTGATGGGCAGAACAGAGCCTCAGGAACACAAAAATAATTGCTGATCTCGTGATTTGGGGGGCACGCTGCACGCTTGTGCTGCATTGTGCAATATCCTGGGAGTTTTCATTTTAAAAGACTTATTGTTGCGTAGCTAAAGCTGCCATCCTGCAACCGGATATATCCTGCCCTCTTCATCAAGCTGGGTGATAACGACATTTCCAGCCAAAAAAATATTAAAGCCAAAGATGGTTTCCTGTGAGGAAGGTAATCACTTCAAAGCAAAGCAAGGATCTGAGTCACGGTAATGTGACTAAGCACGGGAGAGAAGTTTAGGGAAGAAGAACCGTGAAGAACCGGCCTGGCCAGATTGTCAGCTGGTGTTAATCACCCTCACACTACTCCCATAGCTGGGTTTATTCTCCCTGAAGACCAAGACCTTGAAAAGTAAATATACCAGTCCTAAAAGTCACGTGGCACGTTTTCCAAGTTCATCGACGCAAGAGCAGAAGCTCCCAGGGTGGCACTGGCTCACAGCTGTGTCTCACCCCATGCACACTGGACTGTGCACTTAGTAGATGTATAAAAAAGGGGAATCTCACCTGGGTGTGGTCAAGCACAGTTAGCACTAAAATAACATTGACTTTTGTATCTCCTCGTTGCATTTTTATTTTTTTTTTTAGCTGCTCAGATCCGGTGCTGGAATGGGGGTGGGGAGGGCTTCCTGGAAGTGCCCAGAGGACAGTGGCTCACTGAAATGTGGTTTTGCCCCTGCCCTTCTCTTTTCTACCCTGAAGGGTGGGTGGAGAGAAAGAAAGCACAAGCAGAAAGAACAGCCTTGAAATGGCAGGAAGAATTCATATGCCTTCATGTCTTTCTTTAAAGCAGTCCTAGATGCTGGATAAATGAATGCTCAGACAATAGGCAACCACATAACATCCTGTTAACCCAGCTTCACACTGTTAGAATTTTAGATTTGAGCTTTCATTTTTCAGTTGCAAGAGAACCTCAGATTACCCTTGAGAGAGAAATGACTTGGGTCTTTTTATCTTGTAACTGCAGGGAGAGAGCTTGGAAACAAAACACCAAAAGGGTTTTCAACCAAAAGTCCAATAACAAGTACAGAGCACGTCTCCTTGTTTTAGTATTCCCTGGTTTTAGGTCAGCTGGGAGTGTTTGGGCTTAGCTGTGGAGTGTCACTGCTGGTCCTTTCCACCTGTGCTCCTGCAGGACTCCTGGGCACTGCATGCCTGGTGCTGCCCTCCTGCAGCTCTCAGCAGGATGGACTGTGCAGGGAGCTGAGCAGGAGCATCCTGCTGGCAGCTGCTGCCTTTGCTCTGCACCAAACAGCAGAGAATTCAGCCTGGAACTACCAAGAGCTCACCTGCTCAGGGGAGCCATTCCTAAAGCTGAGAACACTCACTGCACACAGCTCCTCAGGACAGTGAGGCAAACAAATCCATGTCCTTTTCAAGAGAGGTTTCTGGACCTAGCACAGGAACTGGGAATGTCAGTTGTTTTATGGGGATTGGATATATTCTTTACAGTGCATCCCTTCTGCCCAGGGTCAAACACTTACACTACCCAACAGTGTGTGTTTGCTTGGGGACAAATTTGGGTTTTTACTGAACTAAATTTAGAACACAGAACAGCATTAAATTAGTTTCAAACTATGTATAGAACCAAGCTGTATTTTAAAAAAACTTTAAATACAGATACCTTGAATATAGGAAACACATAGGAAATGTTCACTTACCCAAAAAGCATCTTTAAACTGCAGCTGGGTCATTGTAATCGCTCTGTAGAGGGGTAGGATGGTTCAGCAAGTCCGTTCTGGGCTGAGAGCAGCAGCAGGCACAGCACTGAGCCTTGTCCCTGCACCCCAGCCCGAGCAGAGAGAGCAGCACATCCACAGACCTGTCCCTCCTGAAGTCAGGCTGGTGCCCAGAGCACGGGGCAGTTCCAGGCAGCTCAGCTTAATGACCTGTGGCTGGGAAGGGACAGAGGGCAGAAAAGCTGTTGCTCACACACAGATTCATGCATGCACTCAGCACCCCAACCCCAAACCTGTTTCTCTTCTAGTAAACAGTTAATATTGAAATGAGGAAGCCAGGCAATGTCAAATGGTGTCAGGCTGCTCCGTGCTGTGGGTGCGTGTGAGCGGACAGGAAAAAGAAAACCAGAGGGGGGGAAAAAAAGTGGTAAATTCAGTGATAGGATTTGACCAGCTACAAGAGGAAAGAGAGAAATTAAAATGCAAAGGAAGGCAGTACAATACAAAGAGACAAGCTGTGGAGGAACTTACAGCTGAACTATCATCTACCGCCGTGGTCTTGCAAAGAAAAAGAAGCAAAAGGAAAGTATCTGCCCCGTTTCTGCAGCACCTTCTGGGGCTGGCAGAGGCCCATGCATTTGCACATGGGAAGAGCAGCTCAAAGTTGCATTTTGCAACTGAAAAAGGCTTTTCAAGACTCTGGTTAAATTAAGAACCCTGAGAAGCGTGCAGGTGTCTGCACACATTTAGGTACCTGGATGTCAATACAGAGAACACTCCTGATTTGCATGCCCTCATGTAAATGGTTGTATGAATATGCAAGATATGTGAAATTTAGAAGTGAAATCCAAAGTCTTGAAAAAAAAATAGAGCTAAGGGTTTGTTAGCACCAGGACTTGAGGTGAAGCCTCACAGACCTGTGAAGGGGCAGCACCCAGCACCACACCCAGCACCCTCTGACAGCAGGAATTTCAGGCAGCTCCCCAGATCAGCTCACCCAGCTGTGATAATACAGCAGCAAATATCTGATCGTAGGGTAACACCCCAGATGCTTCCATGATACACTCTCCAAAATACCTGTCCTACAGGTGAGGTTGCCTCTGTCCACCTCCTTAGGATGTTTTAAGCACTCTTAAATATGTGTTTTTAAATACTCACTGACGTTTTCGGAGGGTAGGGAAAAAAAAAAGAAAACATGGTTGCCTGTGCAAAAGTGTGTCCTGCCCCACCAAGAGCACAGCAGGACTGACTTACTACAACTAGTTGATGTTGCTCCTGGGTGTTGCTGGTTCCCTGCTGTCCCTGCAGCACCAGCCACATCATTTGGTGGTGGGGAAGTCTCACAACTTCCCCGAGCTCCAGCGGGGCACAGGGATCTGCTCAGAGAGCTCTGCAGCAGCTGGTGGCTGGAGTTATCCATCCTCTCTCCATGGGCAATTTGCAGCTGGTGTTTTGGAGAACTGGCAAGTTTCCTTCCTGGTGGTCTGAAGAAGACAGAGAATGTGCAGAGACTTTGAGAGGCAACATGAAGTGCAAGCAGAACTGGGCAACCAAGAGTCTGCAGGGTGAGAGGAGTAGCAGGAGAAAAGCATCATTGCATGGGAAGGGGAGAAGGAGAAACATCAGGGTTCACTTTCAGACGGTGCTGAGGAGGAAAGAGGGAAGGTTTCTTGAAAATTCCCTGAAAAAAAGCATTTTGAGGGCATGGGCACTAGTCATACTACTTGATCTGCATGCAAAAAAAAAAAAAAAGATTTTAAAGTGTTTTATCTCAGTCTTTCTAAAACTAAATGTTTCCTGTTACTATTTCCAAGCTGCAGCTGTGATTTGAAACCAACATCTTTGCTGCTGTTGGGGTTCATAAAAATGCATCGAGTGCATTGTGCTACTTTCTTGTTATTTTTAGTTTGGCCTCAAACCACAAAGCCAGTTATGTGGCTGACCCTCACACTGAGCTCTGTGCCTGCATCCATCCCACCCCCCGGCACCAGTGCCACACAGTCACCTCCCCAGGGATGCTCCCTCATCACCCCATCATCCCCAGGGATGCTCCCTCATGCCATCAGCGTGGGCTGTTCCCTTTGTGCTGTGGGGGACTCTGTCTCCCACTATGAGAAATAAAAATACAGTTTTTTATACAGGTGTATCACGAAGTCGTAAGATATCCAAGTTCCAAATGCTGGAGTATCAGAGTCTTTTTTAGCCAGATAAGGGAAATACAGAAGTTCCTAAAAATTAAAATCTTTTTGGGCCATTTTGTACACAGAGGTTCTTTTCTCTCTTTGGGCTAAGGACAAAGGAAGATCCATCATCTTTGACAGGGGACACCTTGCAGCCAATTGGAAGAAATGGAAAGCCCCTTTTCAGAGAAAAGAACCCTTTTTAGGCAAAAATGAATATATTAAACTTATCTGAAAAAGGGTGGGATTTTGTGAAACTATAAAATGTATAAGATTTAAACCCAAAGGGTCTTTTTCCCCAGAAATTCGGTGAGAGAAAGACCCGGCGCGCCGAATAAATTCTTCCTGGTTTCTTTGTTCCCTGAGTTTATGCCACCTTTCTAAATTTAAAAGAGGGATTTTTCCCACACCACCCGTGGCTGCAGAAGAGCTCAGGCCTCTCGTGCAGGTGTTCTGGTGAGCTGTCAGCAGTGAGCTGCTGTGAGTTGTAGCCCTGGCTCTGACGAAGCAGAGCTGCTGGGCAGACCCTTGGGCCACTGCTCACACCTACCAGGGGGTGCCACGCCTTGCAGGGATTATCAGGCTTTGCAGGGCTCTAAAACAGGGAGAAAATTCTCTCTTACCCTGTCCTCTAAATAGGAACAAGACAACACGGCCTCCAGGTCTGAAATGCCCATATGTCGGGACTGGGTGATTATTTTGATGTGAGGTGGCCTGAATTTTACAGAGGCTGGAAAGGTTGAGCCTGGCAGAGAGCCCTGGGAGGCTGAGGGAAGTGGGACAAAATCAATGCTGCTAATTGCTGTAATGCCTTCTACTGAAACCACCTGGAACTGCCTGAAATTTCCCCCTACAAAAGAGTGATAGCGATACCTTTGTGCCAAACAGAAGCATTTTCGGTGGACAGAGGGTTGACAGAGTTTTCAGGATGCTTTGGAAACCTGCAGGGCCTTTCATCCCCACTTCCTCAGTCCCTGAACAGGGCTTTTCACCTCACCTTCACCTATGGCTCCACTCAGAAATTTAGCAAAGGCAATAACCAGCCTTAAGTGCAACTGTTCCCCAGCAGCTGCTGCAGCTCCTGCCACCACTGCTCTGAGAGGTTAAAAATCAGGTTTTCTGTTTGATAAGGCCAAGAATACATTTCCACAGAGGGGTTTTTTTCCCCCCTCAGTAATTAAATTGTTTGGCAGCAGAATGTACCATTTGGACCTCTTCTGTAGTGGAAAGTGATGAAAAGTCTGATCTTTTTAAAAAAAGTTTGTATTAAAACCCCTCAAGTTTTGTAGTTCATTAGAATGGAAGTTTCATTTAATTTTTAACTATATACTGCTTTGAGCAAAGCTTTTTATCGGGGATCTGGGTGGCAGGTTTGGACTTGACAGTAGGTAAAGTATGAAAATAGCATCTACAAACATGTTTTTGCTCATCCAGGGCTACAAGAAAGACATTCTTCACAGTGAATGTTTCTGATTTTGGGGAGTCTGAGGGAGTAGGCAGTAAACATACTTAGATTCTACATAGAAAGAGGATGAAGGCGACTGTGAAAAGTATTAAGGCAGTGTGTAAATTTGTGCTGAACACTCAGATAATCCAGGTGTTAAGCTGGCTGTAATTTGCAAAACTCCTCAGGTGTATTGTGGTCCCGTTGGAATCATTGTTTGGGAAAAGCAAATGGAGAGTAGAAGGCACTTGTGCCTCTACAGCCACGACATCTGTGAGACAGAGCTCACAGCCATGGCTGGGAGGCATCAGGAGCAAAGCAGAACAGTCCAGCCTCTGGTGTCTCTCCAAGCCCTGCAGCCTGGAGACACCAGCACCAAGGAACCACTTCCAGGGGAAAACCAGGGCTACAACAGCCCCACATTCCAGCTGCTGAGCTGTGCCTGCCGCCTCTATTGCCACACAAATGCTTCTCCAAACTTCCCAGCGACAAATGTTAGGGGCTTGCAAATTATCTACAATCCTGCCAATTTAAACATTTCCAAATCACCTTCTGTGGGGAGCCAATCTCTGTTTCCATGGAAACAGAAACGGCAGCCTCTCAGCATCCAGCTGGGTTTGTTCCAGCTCCTCTGGACCATCCATGGCTGGGCTGGGAGCTGGTTCAGTGTCTCCCAGACCCTGTGACATCGGCTCTGAAAAGCTCTCCTTTGGTTCTTTCAGAAGGAACTATTGCAACACCCTTCCAAAAGCTCCGTTTCACAAAGCAAGACAGCCCTGCTGGCATTTTGCTCCAGTAAAATCAATAATTAACCTAAAGATTAATTGCACAGACTATGTTCTTAACCCATCTCTAGCATTTCAGAGCTGTTTCTAGCAGAGGCCACCCCTGACAGCTGGAGCTTGTGTTTTACCCAAGACAGTCACAGCCTTTGCCGTAATTACGAAGAGCTGGATTTCCTCGAAAATTAACAGTGATACTTTATGGATCATAAAATTATGGTTTGTATCACGGAAACTGGGGTTTTTTTGTGCTCAGTATGTGTTTAAACATGGTTAGTGATCATTCGAACCCCCGAAAATGTTTCAAATACAAAAAAAGGAGAAGATGAACTGTGGAAAGTGCAGTGTCACTGGAGGCTTGAATAACACAAACAGGATCTGGTAGTTCTTGGGAGAAAAGTATAAGTACTTTGTGAAAGAGAAAATGAAAATATTTAGGTTTCTATCTCCCCTTCTGGTCATAACTTCAGGTACCTGCTGAAATAGGTTTTTTATTTCTCTGCATTTTTGGTATGCTTTCTCCATGCCATTAATTCAAGGGAAATCACTACTTATTTGCAAGTATTGCATATTCATTAGCCAAGCAGGCAGTGCTTGAGGCACTGAAGATGTTTCCACAGCTCAGAAAGGACCCTTTCCATGCTGCTGCTCTCGACAGAAAGCAGGCTCCAGGTTCACAGGAATGGTGGGCAGCAGCTCAGGATACGTTGTGCCAAAATAGATTGTTAGCTGGTGTTTTGCCACAGTCTCACCTGGAGAGCCAGAAAGAGGAACAGGGAACTGGTAAAAGCATTTTGCAGCATTTGTGCTTTCTGTAAACCTGAAATGCCAGAAATTTGGATCAGTTGAATCACCCCACAGCTCAGAAGTGACTACACTGGTGTTTGACATTGCACAGTCATGGCTTTCTAGCACTGTTCCTATTGAAAACAGGGTCCATTAGTGGCTTTCTCAAAACAATTCAGCTTTTTCTTTACTTACAGTGAATTACTTGTGGATTGGTTTCTCAAGCTTCTTCCTTTTTGCTTTGATAATCAGTGGGGCTGGTAAAGTAACTTCATGAGCAAGTATTTCCTTACCCCTCTGCTCAGAGATGTTGGTGCACACCCATGTCAGAAGCATTTATGCAGCATAAAGGATTTGGCTTTAAGGACCAAACTGCAGTGAAATTACCCTTTAATGTGACTTTTCTTGTTGTGAGAAAGGCACAACACACTTCACCCTCTGTAGAGAGAAGGTATATTTATATATCCATATGATATACATGTTGTAACAAGAATAACTGCTACCTTAAAACTCACATCAAGGTCAGTGTTTGCCTTCTGAGGGGTTTTTCTTGTACTTCCAGCGAGCTCTGGTTTTTTAAAACAGAGGAGGAAAGGACAGTGTGTAGCTGGAAATTCTGTGTACTCCAAATCACAATCTATAGAGAAATAAACACACATTGCCAAGTGGTTTATACAGGATCACTTTAAACAGGATTATTTGTGCCTCCTGCTGTGCTTTCAGTAGGAGGTGTGTTTGTAGATACTGAATTTATCTGCTTTGTGTTCAGGAAACCTTTGCAATTCTAAGCTCTGTAATATTGACACTTCATCTACCTCCTGTCCCATTATCCTCCCTTTGCTCTATTCCCTGACATTCTTACATGCAATGTTTGTTTAGAAATCAAATTTTGCCAGATCCTTGGCTTTAGAGGTAGAGAGATTTCAGGCCAAGCAGAGCAATTCTGTTCTCTTTATAGACTTTAGCTTGTATTTGTTCCTCTGATAGTCCTTCTCACTCACTGTCCAGAGAACCATCCTCGTGCACATTCCCACAGAACTGGGCACTCCCTTGAACCAGGGATGACTCGTTTTGGGGATGACCATGAGGTTACCTTCCCAACCAGAATGCTCAGCCTCTCTCTAAGTTATTACACGGGGACAGGGTGCTTTAACCAGCTTTAGTATTGGAATTGGGAATAACTCTGCATGTGCTGCTCACAACGTGAGATCAGAGGTACCAGGGCAGAGACCTTCACGAGGCCTCTTCACCTCAAAACACAGAAAATGTGACACTTGACCTTCACCATCTTTCTTCCTGCTCTTTCTGTAAGTCAAAGCTAAGGTTTTAATTCGGAGTTTGAGCTTTTGGGTTTTTTTTGGACTGGCTGTTTTGAGCTGTTCCAGCTGACCACAACCTGAACAGTGTTCATAACCCTTCCAGGGGTGGAAATCACACAGTTTAACTGAATAAAGGCTTATTCCTCCAGTGGGGGTTCTGGGATGAAATGTGGCATCAGCTGAATCTGCTCTTGCTTTCTAA